GAGAGAGAGAGAGAGAGAGAGAGAGAGAGAGAGAGAGAGAGAGAGAGTAGGTAAGAGAAAGCGAACTGTCGGGTGAATGAGCAAGACTGAAAGAGAACAGAAGGATGAAGCTTTCAACTTTCCGTTTCCAGCCGAAACACGGGATTCTTCACATCTCTCTTCTGCATTTCTGCACAAATATCTCGTTGGGCGAAAGTTTACAACACGTTGAAAATTTTAACTCAGCAAGTGAGCAAGCGGAAGACTTTGTGAACGAAGGAATGGCGCTACTTAGCATCTCAATAAATCTATCAGCATTGCGAACCAAACGACATACTCGAACATAAATTTTTGCTTTTCGTCAGTCGATCACATACTTGTAGTCTCACGAACCAAGTGGGAAGTTGATTGTGAGCGCATCATTTACCTGGAACCAATTTGGAATTTTTGCATGCGATAAAAATATACTTTCAAACTACTGTACGTCTTGACGAGTTTTTTTTTCGGTGTGTGTGTGTGTTTCTCTCTCTCTCGGTCTCCACTTCATCTCATTGATAAATGTTCAACTGCGGTTGTTTGTCGCGCGCGTGCAACAGCATTGCCCCATAAAATGCTCCAAACACATATTTCTCTTCTTTCTCACTCACAACTTTAACAACACAAAGTTTCAACAAGATTAATAATATATTTTCGTTTTTCTTGACGATACAAATTCGTCTCTCTCTCTCTCTCTCTCTCTCTCTCTCTCTCTCTCTGTTTTGTTCGTTCTCCTTGACGCTGCCGCGTATCATTATTATAACAAGAGGGGGATGAAGATTGTATGAGCAATAGAACAAGTTCCCTCTTCGAAAACAACAATTTTATTGAAAATTTATTTTTTTTCCACTCCAAAATTCCTGTATAAATTCATTTCTCTTGATACATTATCGAGGCCTTAAACATGAAGCTTTCTTTTTCTATATCGTGTGGTGTACATGTACATCGTGTGTAACATTTCACCCAAACAGAACGAAACACAACAAAAAGGAACACAAAATTTTTGGTTTTGTTTTATTTAAACTCCTATTATTATTTATTATTTGTTCGTCTTATATTCTTACATTCGTATAATACTATATCCAAAAACTTAAAATTTCATAACAATTTGTTATTCATATAAGATCAATGTGGGGAAAAATTTTGATTGTCTTAAACATAATTACATGGGCTATTTTCTTTTGTCTATTTTACTAAAATCAAATTTGTACTTTTCACATCCTAGATATGATTGAGCTTAATATTTTATTCAAAATTAGAAAAAGAAAAAAGATAGCGAAATGAAGAGAAACTGCATTTCAGTGTTGCATTTCATCGCAAATAAATCAGCAATATAAATTACCGCCTTCGTTCTTCTCGCAGTAGTGTCGAACATAGTCTTTTTGTGCAATATTCAAGCCAAGAGCCAAAGCCTCGTCCAAAAATTGCTTGACACCACCTACGCCGACCAAATAGCCGTTCAATCGGGCGGCCACATGTGATGATCTCAACAGTTTCTCATCCAAACTAAGGGTCTTTGCAAGATCTTTGTGAGATTGTAAATAGTACTTTTGATGATAGCTGTTGAATGAAAGGCAAAAATATAATCATTAGTGAATGCTAAAAAACCACATCAGTTCAATAGTCGACAAAACATTCAAAGAATTGAAAAAGAAGAAGGAGAAATCAAACAGTTGTTTGTCTACTCAATTTCCGTTTAGTTAATGGAAAAAACCAGTTAGCGAAAAAAACAGAATTGAAACTTACTCTTCAGCCGTATAGATGGTGTCAACCTTAACGATTTCGGTAATAATTTGTTCTGTTGGCCGATTGATACGTTCACTTTCCAGACTTTCACTGGCCACGCGTTTTTGTTCGTCGTTGTGATAGTAAATGACCGATGCATATTGGCGCTTGACTCTAGTCGTCAAGCCGTATTCGTGATTGTTCCAGAACAGGTCTAAAAGTTGCGAATAAGTCACTTCATTCGGATCGAAATCGATCGTAATCACTTCAACGTGATCACCACTAAACGAGAGATTAGAAAGAAAAATGCAAACGTTACAAATTATAAAAATGAAATCTCTTTTTGTTCAATCGCTCGTCACACAAATCACAATCAAACACAGGAACAAAACAAAAACAAAAACAAATGAAATGTGATGTAGGAATTCCGAGAGCGAGTGCAGAGTTTGCATTAAAGTAAAATCAGAAAATTTGCTAATGATTACTTACATAGTTTTGTAGGTTGGATTTTCGGTGGTGCCACCGCAGTAGCCGACTGTAGTACGTAGAACACCTTTCGTGGCGCCAAACAAAGCATCTGCCCCCCAGAAGCAGCCCATTCCAAAGGTTGCTGTCTCATATTCGATATCAACTTTGTGCACCAAGTTTGGGCTTCCGATTGTGTCGTTCTGAAATGAAACGAATTGAAGCGAACAATTAAATAATGATTTAAAAGATGAATGAAACTTTTGTTTATTCACTTTTTCATTGAAAAGTTTGTAGAAATAACACCAATTTTTGTGTTCAATAACAACTTGATCAAAGAAAAAAAGAGAGAAGAAATCGATGAAATACTTACAATTCCAACCATTTTTGCTGAGCTGTTTGTTTTATTCGTTGAATTAAGTGAATTTGAAAGAAACAGTATTGGTTTTTTAAAACAAAAAGATTGTGCTTGACAATTTGCTTGACGATTTTGAACACAAGTGCAAAACGCTTCGTAGAAGTCAAATTTGTGAAATATTATTTCGTTTAGTTCGTACAAAGCTAAGAACTTGACTGATTCCTTGCAGTCAAAGCGCTCCGTATTTATATGGTGGCCCGGTACCGGGCGATCGCTTGCTATACACAAACACATGGACAACACGCACACACTAGAGATACGGCGTTTGCCGTTATTATTGTACACGGCTGGCTGTCGGTTTTTCGTACACACGCGTTATCAATGCTAAACCATATGATCGTAGCATACATTGTGTCTACGGTAGGCTCGGTGTGTGCATTGCGATTATCAAACGAACATATAACACACGTATAGGCCCCGCAAAATATAGTCATTATCACTGCATAATACCAAAGATATAGCACTTTTTCAAGACTAGATTCCTTCTAGATTCGTTCTAATTGGTCGATGTCTTTTTCTTGCAGCAGATTTTTTTTGCGCACCTAATCACCTTTTTGACGATCTCAAGTGCATGCCAATTCAATTGAAATAATGGCTCTTATTTTGGTCGATAACTCTTTATTTATGATTGCCGAGCCTGCAGCCGATCCATTGTTTCAATTAAAGAATTTAAGATAAAGCTTTAACCAAAACTTGAAAGGCATCATTTTATCAACCAAAACAAATGGAAAGACAATCGAGATGGAATGTGTACCCAATCATTAGCGACCTTTTGTCACCTTTTCGGTTTATTTTCGTGCAGTTGTGTCTATCAAGTGCGAAGCAAAAAATATAAACAAATGACATGATTTTCCCCAATACATTGGACGAGTTCAATTTGGAACAAGAAACAAATCTTGTGCGATGCAAATTCGCTGAATTGAATGATCATTTTTTGAAAAAAATCTATCACCAGTTGCTATGATTCAAATAGTTTCGAATTTCGAAACTTTTGTCGTGCGTTTTTTCCATCCTTTTCTGGGGATCAATCTTAATTGCACGCCAAATCGATAGGAGTTCATCTTATCTTTATTATAAAAAAAACTAATCAATTACGAATACGATCACAATTGCCAATCTAGTGGCTACTATATTTAGTCGTAATTTTTTTTTCTGATTGAAATCTCAATATTTCATTTTGAGAATATTTATTAGTTTATCATATCAATTTATGCGACAAATTTTCCGATCTATCCAGAATAAAAAAGCATAACGAACGAATTCAAGCTTGAATACCTATGTGTACGAAAATATTCACGCATTGTTTTGAATAAAGCCGGGTGTCATCTACAGTCGATATACGCGCATGCGATCATTGAACGTTCAGATGTTGAGAGCGAGCGAGTGAGCGAGTAAGAGAGACAACAAAATGGAGATTGGCTTTCCATATAGAAGGCTACAAATAGAAAATAGATAGATTATTTCAAACATATTGTTTGGGTCTAGAGTCCTCACCTCCCTCTTTACCGACCTTATGAAATTGTTTGACAAGATAATCCTCGCGCCTATGATTTAATTAATAATAATAATAAAAAAAAAGATAAATCCGTATATTGCTAACAATAAACACAAGCAATGCCACGATTGTCAATGAGAAGAGAGACAATGATAAGAGTCGATCACTACGGTAGCAGAAGCAGCAGCAACGACGACGGCAGCAACAGCTAACAGCCACATATGAACTGCGTCGACATGTGCTCTCCTCTGAGAGCTGTGATTTACACATCAAAAAGAGCAAGGCGTGTGTGTAGAACCAAATAACAAAACAAAACCGAGAAAAACGAAAGAACGGATAGATAGAGCGAAAGAAAAGATCGGTATGCGTTCGAGTAGTATATATGCTTACCGTACACAAGCTTTCACGCAACACATCTCTCGCATATATATACATATATATATATAATTGTTTTTCGCGCAAAAATCCTAACCACCATGGATTTTAGATTCATTCAAAATTAATTTCGAAAAATGTTTTCAGCCCCTTTGCGTAGACAAAATTCAATGATGGGCACCTTTTTGGAATCGGCATGTAAAATGGAATATTTTTGCATCAAAAAATTTCACCTACGATCATTTGTTTGGGAAATCCCCGAAAAAATGCCCAAATCCAGCGAATTTGAGCGGATTTTTTCGACAGTACAAAACTAGAGAAATTTCTGCATCGAATGACTTCCATTTGATCGTGATTGCATCGAATTTAAGCGTTGAAATCAATTTCTGAAAATTCATTTGAATGACTTTTTTGTTTGGAACTCAAGAATACGAGCGGCATTCAATCGAGAACGTAGTTGATGTAAAGGCAATCGGCATGAAGTGTGTGTATGAGTGATACGCTCGCCTTTCGATCGTCTACCCGACACATCTACATACACACATACGGTATCGGTACGGTATATACGAGGCTAAAAAAACGTAAATGAGAAATCTCAGCACTTTCATACCGTTTTGTCTAAGCATTGAGCAGCTTTGATTGCAGTCGATGATTGGTGACGTACGGAACGTAGACGACTACACAACAACAGCTGTTTTTGGGCTTTTCACTGTGTTCGCATTTTGTTTATGGTTTTGTCATATTTTTTCGTTATTCGTCATTTTGTCATTCTTCGTTTCTTGATTACGGTGAATTTCCCTAAATACGCTTTACTGAACATTGATTGTGCATATGAAAATAGCATTAATTCTTTGAGATGGGTTGTTGTTGTTGTTGTTGAACTTGCCAATAATCTGCATCACCCAGAAACATTTCTCAGTTCAGTTTTACTTTTGTTTGTTGGTTTATATATTAGATACTATCTTGCTTCCGTAGACTAGATTCGACGGAATTGTTTTTTTTTATTGTCTTGAACATGATTTGAAGGTAAATCGCGCGTTGTGTTTGCAGACAATTTGCAAAATTGTAGCGCAATTCGTATGAGGCCCACGATTGGACTTTAGAGCTTGATTTTCAGCTAGACACATCCAATCGGTTCAATAATGATCAATGCATTGTATATACGCTGTGTGCATTTTATGTAATGTGCCGGTCGGTGTATTTGTTCACAAATATGAATAATCCGATGGTTTGTTATTAAGAATTGCCTAATTGAAACTATCCTGACGATATTTAATTCGTTGAATCGAACATAAGCCATTGGAATGATTTTTCAATTGTTTCGATTTATGATAAAACCTAAGATTAGGCGAGATTAGAGCGAAATGATGTTATTGAAAATGGCCATTTCTAGGCCGATGCAAACGATGGAAATTATTCAATGCAGCGCATTTTGTCGGTAAATCCTTGGATTGGTAAAAATGATCATATGGCATTAAAAACGCTTTTTCCATATCGATAACTCCAGATTTGCTGCAATCTTCATAATGTATGTACAACAGGCATGAGAAGTGAGACTGAAATCACGGTCAATGATGAATGTACTGATTTATTTATTTTTCCCTGATATTGGTCATTCGATATGAAACATAAATACATTCTCGAGCACATTATACCATGCATCCGAAACGTCCATTCGGTGCAATTAAACTAAGTGCACATAAGCACAACGAATAACAAAGAGGTGTCTGCTGTGTGTGTGTGTGTGTTCACTCAAAAATTGAACGAAATAAAGAAAAAAAAACTATGCGATCGCACGAGTACTATCGGTATCTCGGTATCGATAAGTATATCGCTTATGTCATATCATACACACACACACACACACACATACACACACACACACACGCAATTTTTGGATAGGTTCAATGAAATGGAATCCTACTGGAACTCCGATGGGAGATATTAAATGGCGTTGTGCGGCGCGTACGTTTTACTAATATCGGGTTTATGTCATTGATTAACAAGATGACATAATAACATACGTAACCAGAGGAACGTCGATGCAATATCGGGACAAGTGGTTGTTGGAAATTAGCGAAATTTAATTGATGGATGCACAAAGAGCTGTGAATGCGTGCATCCGCCGCCATCACCACCACCACCACCGCTCTCTGCTTCGTTTTGCATTGAATTAATTCCCGGGGAAATGTTGAATGGCCATATTGATGCGTGAATATTTCTCCAAAATTATTACCTCTCTTTGAAAATGTAAATTTAGCCAGCAGTCAACTGACCAAGGCTCATTCAATCACGGTGAATCATTTAGTACGGGTCGATTCACTCTTTCTCTCTCCCGCCCTCTCACTGTCATTCCAACTCTCACTCTTTCATTTACAAGACTAAGTTCATTCTAATTGATTGATTAAAACTCGCAACTATTCATGTTGCGTACAAAAGCCATTCAAAATGGCAAATATTTGCCCTTGTTGCATATTATATTCAATTTAGTTTTGCGACTCCAAATCAAAGCTATCACACAAAAACGGTAATCATAGTGAGGATTTTCTGATGTATGATATTCAATTGAGAGATATGCCAAAAATTCGATTTTATTTTCTGAATGCATTTCCCATTTTCATTGGCAAAATAATTGGCAAGTACAGAGCGGCACAGTAGAGTAACTAAGTCGATAGAGATTCAGCTGCGAGACAGAGAGAGAAAGAGAATGAGTCGTTTTTAACGCACTGCACGCACATAATGCGAATGACATGTGCTCTACTGAGCTGAAGTAAAACAACGAAAATAAAGCACGCTTAAAAACGCTTAAGCACACCAACACACACACACACACACATTCAAGCGTGGAACACATAATGCGCGCCGTATGTACACATGATCGCCCAGAACAGGCGAACTGTCAAATACGACCGTCTCACCAAGAGACCTGTATGATGCAAAGCCGTACACGCTAGCTACTACGGCATCAATCATCATAAAAAATGAGCAATGACACAATAAAACAGTAGTAAGATCGATGTCTCATTTGATTCAATTTTATTTTTTGAAATTAATTTGAATGGGTTTGAGTGGTCGCTTTGCAATGACAACCACAAATTTAAAATCAGCGAATTGCCATGCATCGATTTCATTGAAAAAATTGGGCAATTCCCATGGTTTTCTACGAAATGAACTTTTCGGTGATTTTCCAGCAAATTTCCCACCACTAATCGATGGCCGATAATTTTTCATCGATAAATATGTGCATTTTATTAAAATCCAATCGCAGCAATGGCATCAAATTAATTTTCAAAAATTATTTTGAATGAGTTACACACTCTCTTGGTTGGTTGTACGCGCAAGTTAAAACGTACTGCTGCCGCTGCTGTCGTCGTCGTCATCGTCATACAGTACTCACTCTCTCTCGCAGCGATACAATATTAATAAAAACATCAACGTCACTAATAATGTCTTTTTCACTCGTTTAGTCGGTGGCGTAAAATTGTTCTCTCTTCCATTGCCGTCAATTTTGGCCAATTGCAATGGGACATTTCATACAATGGTCAATTCAACCCAATAAAAACTATAAACCATCCATGTGCATACACACACATTATTTTGACGCCACACAATTTTTTTTTTTCGATGTGCTGTTATTTACGGTTCGTAAATCAAATGGAAATTTATTTGATGTTCACACAATTTCAGAATGCAAACCGAAAGAGAAGCAGGAAGAGAGGGAGAGAGAGAGAGAGAGAGAGAGAGAGAGAGAATAAGAGAGAAAAAAATAATTGACAAATGAAGCTTATTATGTGAAGGAATTTAATTTTTTTTCTCTTTGCACCCTGGCACGGGACTAACCAACTGATTGCACGTGCAAGCGTAAAATGCTCTTCACAATCAAATTTATGCCCATTCAACAGACAAACAGGCAGTTTAAGAGAGAGTTTTGAATTTCATTGTATGTACTCTATAGAAAAGTATAGATAAAAATGAGCGTAATTCGATTCGACATTGAGGTGGTCAGTATTCACATGTGACATAGTTTACGCATGCAAAATAGTCTTTCTTGATTTTCTTTTGGCAAATGACATAAAAGCTTCATTCCAGTAGGGTTGATGAAAAGACGCCAGAAAATTGAAAAAAAAGAGGATTTCTTATCAAATTGTAAATAATTAGAGTGGAAAAAAAATTACGAAGAAAAAAAATCAATTTTGAATTCTTGTTTTTCAAATCAAACAATGACTCTCATTTCTGTCCCGCTTTGAGTCACTATCAGCAGTTGCTTCCTTTTTTAGTCCGTATCATTCATCTTTTTTTGCTCGTCTCGATCATTTTTTTCAAAAATTTCTACGATCTCCATAGAAAAAAAATCGCACAATAATTTATTATCAGTTTGGCACCGATCGAGAGCGAAAAAAAATCAATTTTTGAAAACAGAAAAGAGGAAAGTATAAGTAGAATACCACTTATCATCGTTAGTAAGCGGAAAAATTGTCACGCAATCGTCGTAATCTCTGGAATTATGGTAGATTTTTCGAAAAATAGCAAGGAAAAAACCAGTCGAATTCAACGAAAAAATCGTTTATCTCGTTTTCTTGGATTGCAGCGTATTTATTTCGTTTTGTTTGCCCATTTTATTGGTTGCACCCAGACAAAATCAGTGCTATGTAAATGTAATTACTTATAATGTATTCATCCAAAATCAAGCGCTTATCAGAAACGACAACGATTTCAGTTCAAAAAATTCGCATTGCAATTTTCACAAATGTAATTCCAAGAATGACTCAATTTTCCGTTTTTTTTTTCTTTTCAAAATGGAGAACGCAAAATGAACAAACATACTTGAATGACTGTCATCAATTCCGTTTAGTTTTAACGTTTGTTTTCATTTTGCTTCCGTGTTTGCACGGAAACGGAAAGGGGCTTTTCACAAACCAAAACGGTAGCGAACAGAATATGGTGGAAAAATGTTGGAAGTATGGACAAATGTTTTCCAACATATTTTCTGGATAGAGCTCAATAATTCTTCTTCTGGGTAATATACTCTCAACAGAACGCTCGAAACAAAATGAAATTTTAACGGAAACAACATCAACTAAGGGCTAAGAGTTTGTGATGTCTAACTTTACAACAATTATTTATTTCCATGCATGCTGGGCTTGATTTTTGGAGTATAATACTTTAACAAACAAAAATGTCAAACATTCCTTCTGCGAATTTGAATAGTTCAATTTCTATCCCAGACATTTTCTATGAGATATGATGAAGAAATTAAAAAATAATACACTACTGACCGGAGTGTAATGTACAATTACAGTGTATGGTTGGTTAAAAAAACGTAATCATTCCTATTAATCACAATATCCAAGTAAATTTTTACAATTTTGGGTACACTTTTTTAGTTCATCTGATTTTGATAGAAGTCCTTCCATTTGATAATAAACAACTCTTATCATTAAAAAAAAATACTGTGAATTGTTGTGGTGAACATGGATTTAAATTTAACTCTGAAAATGTGCGTATACGCACTGGTGGACAAATGATGAGAAAAGGCGAGTGGCTAATTAACCCAGATATATATGAAACGAATAATTGAAATAGTTGGCAAAATCAAATGCTCGAGTTAGTCATGCATATCAAAATTTCCACTATTTTCTCGGTAAAAAATGCGCCTTGGTTTTTGTTCGTTTTCAAATACCGTGACCGGATTCAAATAACGCCAATAATAAAAAAAAGTGAAAACGATCGTTAAATTGAAATACGAAAAAAACTGCGAAACGTTGAACCTTTTCCAGAATCGCCTGCATTTATACTTTCATGTGGAACACATTACACGAGGTTCATGTATTTGGGTAACAAAACAATTCGTTCTTTCAACGGCATTATAATTTTAATTTCTCGTTGAAACTTCTTTTAAGACCAGCACAATATTAAATCTTACCTTCAATACCTGGAGTATTGAATGTTCAAGCTGCCATTGTGATTAAATTTCGTAAACTATTCCAAAAAAAAAAAAAAATTGTTCCTCGGACTTTTCATCATCGAAATTAATTCTTTTTCACCGAATCGTACTTTAATTACGAGAAGAATACTTGAAGCACCATCCAAAGAATAATAGTCTATAGCTCAGGCTATTCAATGCGGAAAAGCCATCTATTGGACAAGTTTTGATTCAAAAATTTGTCTGAGAACAAATTATCACGCGTTGTCTTACAGGCGTTCATAGCTTGTTGAATTTGTGCTTCATTTATGCACGTTCATTTATCGTTGACTCGTTTGGTGAACAAATCATGGACAAATTAATATCATTCAAAATGTTGAAAAAAAATTTACTCGATCAATGAATAAAAAGGTAATTCGCATAAATTTGGTCATTCAAACTTGAAGGTGATTCAGCACTTGAAATAAATTCAAGCTAAAATTAATAAGTTGATACAGCTCCATAGGTTCTGACACCAAAAAATTCAGGGGGGGTCAAGCCAAAAATTCCAGGGGGGGTCAAAAAAATCAATTCTATCTAGTGTAAATTTCTTCCCGAAAAAAATTGCTGACCGGGGGGGGCGATCCGCAATTTCGAATTTGAAGAGCAAAAAAAAAAAGGTCCTCGCTTTCGAAAATCGATTCTATCTAGTGTAAAACCGGTATCCAGAAAAAAGTGAGGTCTAAAACAACAAAAAAGGTCCGAAAATGCCAACGGGTCCAAAAAAATCGTTGGGGGTCAAATTTTTCCAGGGGGGGTCAGGATCAACGAGATCAGACTATGTCAGAACCTATCTACAGCTCCGTATTTTTTTTCTTCTATTTTAATGTTTTATGGTTGAAAATAGCATTACAAATCATGATTAATACACTTTTATCATTTATTTTAAAGAATAGTCATTAAGCCTACTCTTATACAAAACGAATGTGTCGGAAAAGAAGAAATATCGGTTTCGTTTTGAATCAAAATGAGATATTGTTCAAAATAACTTTGATTAACTCATAGAATGGTCTTAACTCTTGTTTTTGTTAGGTTTAATAAAAATTACTGATTTTTGCATTCATTTTTGCATTCATTTTTGCACCAGATTTCATTCCGTTTCTACATAAGAAAATTCATTACTTCCTAAAATCTGGGTAAAACTTTTCAATCAACTCAAGAATAATATCGATGAGCACAACGATAGCGTTAAGTACACTTTTCACTAATTCAATAGTGTTGTTCTTATCGACTCTATGAACCACATCCTTTTTCGTTTCTGTTTTTGGCAATGCTTTCACAATACTGTAGAAAGCACCACCCAGATTCCGTTCTGTGCCAAAACGTATAGCGTTCGCATCAAGCCATTGAGCTACTCTCAATTGTCCTAATTTCATGATGATTTTTCTCGATGGTACACCCATTAAGATGAGATCGTCATATTGATTAAATCGATCATTTTCTTGCCAAAACTCCGGCCGATACACCATGTAATCGACATATTTCGATATGGAAACAAAATCGTACATGTAGTAATAACGATTTGAAGATGTATAAAATGTAAGGTAAGTTGGCATCATTTCCTTTGTTATTACTATGTTAAAACTGATGATAAGCAATAGACCGGTCGGTTCGAACATTTGCTTGAGCTCTTTCAGGAGTGACACCAACGTTTCGTTATCAATTGACTCTTTCGTTTCGGTCCATCTGTGTGTACAAAAATTATTTGAAAATTAATAGGATATCAAGAGAGTGCAATTACAAGAAACGTGTTTAGAAGCGAGAAAAAAAAACGCAACTATCAACTTACCTGACCGCTGTGTGTTGCAAATTCAAATACAATCCAACAAAGTTATTGGAAGAGACATCATTGTATGCCTGTTTAATGAATTCTTCACGCTTTTCCTTATCACCTAATATTGCACTCAATTCGTTTGGGGTATGCGTTATGCTGTACAAAATCTACGGCAATTCAAGCAAGAGATAACAGTCAATTGGATTAGATCAATATATTTTACTTTTTCAAAATAAATTTGCATTACCTTCAAGTAAGGATACATCTTACGTGCCACTACACAGTCACCATGTTGCCTCCATTGAGCTAAATTTCAATTAAATTTCAGTTAACTAGGAATGAAACGAAGAACGAACAATTTCTTAAAATAAACAGAAAATTATTTACCACTTGAATGCAAATTTGGGCATATGAGATGTGTACATTGGTTAATTCCGTCACTCATTGGATCCTCAATTTCGCATATTTGTATCGTGCCGTTAGATGATTCTGGAATGATCAATTTTGAAGCAATCAATTTGAATAAAAACTCACACATTCATTTGAAAAGTTGAAATATTTATTTTGCTGTCATACATACCGTCGATTGCGATTGCAGTGGAAAATAATGCACACATAATCACAATACTGATCGGATTTATCATTTCACAACCAAATGCCATTTTACTTGGGATTTATTTTAGGTTAAGCTGTTCAGTTATTTTGGTGTTGTTTGTTCAACGACTAAATGGAAACTGTGATGTTGAAATCGGCACAAGCTAGAACGTAAAGGGTACGACATAACGTTCGAATGACTTTTTCAGATAAGCGTTTGAGCATCATTTCGAATACTTTTATGAGTTTCCAAAGCATCAGATTTGGAGACAGTTGAAACCAGGTATGAAATGGTGGTGGCATAGACGAACTGACAAAAAATAGATTTTTCGCACGAAGTAATTGACCATATTTTTCAGACATTGGACTATCACTTATATTTTACACGTAAAAAAATAAGTTTATTGCTGTCGGAATTGAATATAATCTCTGGACTTTTCAAACAAGGATATATGTTAAGCAGCATTTCTACCTGCTTTTCATCTCACATTTGGTGTCCGTTTAAAAATTATATACTAGTAACGCCATCTACTGTGCAATAGTCAATTTTCAGCTGAAAATTGTCGCTTTTTTGTACCCGCTCCAAAGATGCAAGCTATTTTTGTTTTGAAAACGATATTAGCTTGAATACAGCTAATTCGAATGTTTACTAAATAAAGCCAATCGAATGTTTTGAAATTTTTGGAACCTGACAGTATGTATGGATTGGTCAATGTGTACGAAAATTCTATAGCAATTGGTTATAATATTTACTCGAAGAAGATTTTCTTTTGAAAAAATCCAGATTTTACGGAGCCGAATGTGCTATCATAACAAATTTTGAACAAATAAATAGAATTAATAATCGATGCAATTGAAGATTTTATTTTCTGTTCATCATTACCAAATCCGAAAAACACAAGTAATCGATTCAGTTTTTTGTTTCTTCCAGAGAATACGAAAATTGACGTATTTTTCAAGATTCGCTTGAAATTCAAGCCAAATTCAACCTACCAACCTGTTACTTTTATTACTTACACCAGAGACTGAAATAAGAAATTTTCAGAAGATCCGAAAACACGATAAATTGTGTTCAGAAGATCCGAAATTCCGATTGCAATCTAAAAAACAGAACGAAACTCTGAATTATAGATGAGTTTCATTGTATTTGAAAGATTCAATTTGTTTAACGAAAAAAAAAACAAAATGAAATGTTTGATATTCCCCATTGATTCATATACAATTTTATTGCCGATCTTGGCAATTATTTTTTCAATATGAATGCCGTCTCAGCACATTAGTGCATGCTAGTGCCACGATTTCTTCACAATCGGTGTTTTAGGATATTCAATCATTTAACTTCGATTTCCAACGGAAGTCTTCAAAGTGAGAATTTATTATGTGAACGCAGAACTGTTTCAAATAACGATTAAAATTTTTCAAATTCATTGAAAAGCTGACGAACTACAGAATGCAGGTGTACACAAAAAATTTGAAAAAGTGAACAGTTTTTGCGATAACGAATTTCATATTTCCCATATCTTGACCAAAATTTTAATGTTTGTATGGCGAGCGAAGCGAGCCTAATATTTCCATATGATGTGCAATGAAATTCAATTTTTCCCTAATTTATTGTAATATTTTCTATCAAAGAGTATTTTTTATGCGTGCTTTGGGCATAAATTTTGTTTCATTTGAAATTTCTTAGGATCCGTAATTTAAAACTAGAGCAGCATTTTTCCGTTCAGAAGATCCGAAAACTGGCAGAAGATCCGGTTATTTCTGTCTCTGACTTACACCATATGAAAGCCATAAAAAATGTTGATATCTCTGAAAGTAACAGACTTTTTTTCTAATGAATTTCCATTTTTCTGTTTCCTCACTGCACTCAACCACATTAACTGCAGCCAACTTAATATCAAGTACTCGTTTTATTTTCGAATGAAAACTCACAAAATGGCTTTTGAATTCACAAGAGAAAAAAAATTCATATTAACGTTCATTACCAGCTGATAATGTTAATTTACTCAAAATATTTGTGCACATTAAAAACAAATCAAAATTTTCCGTTATAGTTGCCTCAGTCTCGCCCTTATAAATGTGTTAATAAATGTGAACGCATTTAGTGTGCAGAAAATTAAAAACCGAATTGCAATTTGCAATGGATAAAATCATTTTTGGAACAACAGTTTTTGAATTTCAAATTTGAAAATTGTTGTTCCAGCTTCAATTGGGTGTATATTATGATTGTTGCCTGGTATTCTTTGTTCCGGTTGCAATGTGAATGGTTTTATAGGTAATGCGTCTCCCAAAAAAATGTAACATACACACACAACCGCATAAGATGTAATCGTTGAGTGTCCATTCATTGGAAACATTATGCAAGTGTTTTTCAGTTGAGTGCACTTGCCTTGGGAGTGCATTCCGTGTTGAACAATAAATGGCCAAAGTGAACAAAGAATTCCATTTTGGATTGTGGCATAGAGTTGAGTCTAGACATTTGTTTCAAACCAGCATCACCAATGAGCGTTTACAAAGTGTGTGTGTGTGTGTGTCTTTACCTTAATGGAAGAATCGGAATGAAAGAAAAAAAAATGAATTCATTTGCACTGTCCAAATGGCTTTTTTTTCGCATCGCAATGGTTTTAATGCCGAAAAATCGAACACCGAGAAGATAAGCAGCTTAACTAATAGAGATGATGGTAGCAATAATTGTGCCATTTTTATGGCATTATGATCTGAAAAATCTCCGTTACCCATCTGGGTTCGCCTTGAAAACCATACACGCTCATTTCTTTACATTATCAAGATGATCTTAACGAGCTAGAGACAAAAATATTCACATAGATTTCATAATTAATGGTAATCAATTGACGATGAAAAGTGTCCAATACCATGATGAACTTGTTGTTATTAATCGGTCAAACATCTGTATTTCTACGGTTGTTGTTTTTCTTTTTGATTTGGTTTGGTTTGTGGGCGATTACATGAAGCAAAACACCCAAGAACCGTAAATATTGTGCCAAAAACCAAAGAAAACAAACGCAAACAAACTAAGGTCTTCTATGGTTTAAATACACAAAAATAATGCCCACAAATCATAATTGTATCCGCTGTTGTTTGTTTTTTTCGTTCAACCAACAGATATATTTCATTGCGTATTTTGAAATCGATGAATACTGGTAGCGGGGTAGCCGATGTAATGTATAATGATATCGTGAGACGCGTTGCGTTATCATCTGAAGACAAATTATGCTGTAATTTCATAAAATAACGAAACATTTTAATGGAGCGCAAAAGGTGTAATGTTCCACGTCTGCCATTTCCAAATCCATGAAACGGGCATGTGTGTATATGTTGCACTAGTGAAGTGAATGCACACGAAAAAAAAACAGTGTCAGCAGCGGTCTTAGGTATGGCAAGTACTTGGATATCTCTCTCTCTCTCTCTCTCTCTCCCTCTCTCTCGACTACCTAAATAGTTGGCTACTGTTCGAGAATGGATGACTGACTTATCAATGAATTGCACGCTCATTCAATGAGCTTATTGCTATTGATTCACTTTTCATTTCGACTTGCCGTCTTGTGTCAATTGATCCATTGTCCGGTATTTGTAATAAATAACATACGAAATATGATTTTATCTGACAGAACATTTGAAAGAAACATGCCAGCGATCAATTGTTCGTTTATTTTTCCATTAGTTTCGAAATTCCAAATGATGACTGGTTTACCGAAATCGATTTTGGTTATTTTTTTTTTCTCTTGTTCGTGGATTTTTCTGTGGAATTTACGACGCGTGACCAATACCAACAACCAGTAAATTCTTACACACTTATGCAAGCAATCGCATAACGAATGCACTCTACGATTTCGATTTGATTTGTTTTGTTTGGTTTGTTTTTTTTTCTTCGTAAATTTATTGCACGTCGTGTGCAGCGTCATCGCGAGCCGGACTCTTCAAGGGCCCACCAATCCATATCGAAATTACAATAGCTCGCGTAAAAGTGAATCAATAAAAACCATTGCACAATTGGCATTTTTTCGAGTGTGTTGACATTATGCGTCAACTGGTGTGTCCGTTCAATGGTTTGGCGTTGTTGAAATGATTTTTGTATTACGACAAACGGAAAAAAAAACCATCAAGAGACGAGACATTTGCGTGTTTTGGTTCGATCTGGTTACAAAAACGGTCGAACATTCGACGGACATGTTTGCTGAATTTGTTCACTTTTTTTTTGGTCATAAAAATGAAATTAAGCAAATCAGTTTGCTTAAAAATAGATCAAAATTCTAAAAAAAAATAGCAGCCACACGCAGACGCACACACACTCGATCTGATTGTATGTTTACAATGTCAGAACATGGCATACGATTTCATAAATATGGGATCCTGTCTTCGCCTCGAAGTCAATACAAACTAATTACGTTTTCACTATAATTGGAATTTTGCATCAGGCGAACGAGAAAAAAACTAATAACCAAATGTTAACTGATACAAGCCTACGAATGCTAGAGGATGGTCGTGCATTTCAATTCATTTAAGGAAAATCAACAAAATCAATCTACAAGTGACTAGCTTTCATAATACCATACCTTTTTTTGTTCGCTTCATATTCTCGTTAAATGAAAGGAACACGTTGATTTGCTTATATATTTTCTCATTACTTGAAATGCTCTCTCTCATGCAACACAAAGCATCTGTGTGGCACGGGTGATAACACACTCACTTTGAAAGTGATGGAAAACGACTCGTTTAAATAAGAAAGAACGAAGCAATCAGTTGAAATACAGAAAAAAACACAAGTAATTATAAAAACAATCCGGATCGATTGCGTTCGCCGAGCACTCGCGCTCTCGCGTTGTGTGGGCAATTTTAAAGGGACCGACGTTACAAGCAAGATTTCATCTGGCAATGCGTTAACAGTTAAATCAGAGTTTCTCAAGTTGAATGCATAACGACGAACCAAATCAACGCGATTTAAGTATGATTTTAAGCAACATGTTACGCCGCACTTTTTTTTTCATCAATGAAAATTTTCTCGATTAAAAATAAAATGCGTTTTATGTTTCTATCCATGAGATACTTCCATTCGACCAATGTGTGCTTTCAGTAGTAGTATAGTACTTATTCAATCATGATTGAAATGAAATGATAACATCAAGACGCTGGTTTTTGTGTGAAAACTTGATAAGTTGTTGTGTCCATAACTCAAATTTTTCGAATTTACTTGGAATAGGGCCCATGCTTGACATGTTTTGTTTGTTGGTCAATTTTGCTGTGGGTTTTGTCGTGAAATTAGGTGAATTCCACACTTTGAAACACAAAACCTATGTGTGTATGTACAAGTAAATACGGCTTAGATTCTAAGCTCACAATGTAGCTGTCACCATAGTACACCACGCAATACGCTGAGATTTCATAGAGAATAATAATAGGTTATGGAATCTCATCGCGTTGCATGGTGAACTACGGTGACAGCTACATTGTGCTAATATACGATCACATAAGTCTTACAAGAATTTTTCGGGAAGCGCCATAAAACGAAGGATTGAATAAAATTAAAAAGAGTCATAAACCAGAATTTTTCTCTTAAGAAAGAAAAAATCCATTAAATTGTGCGTTCATAAGATATTCGGTGGAAAAGTTGAGAATCAAAGTAAGCTGCGATCGTATTCATTTAACTGGATCCGAATTTTTTCTTTTATTTCGTTGAGCGCATGAGTTATATGGAAAGGTGCTTACGTTAAAAAGTTTACGCATTTGAGAAGAAGATAAGATTGTGTGTCATACGTAATCACGGACAAATGACCAAATTCGGTATTTAGATTCGTTTTGTTGACCACAGTTGAAATTGGTTCAAGTAAATCAAAGGAGCAGAATGCAGTTCGAAGGAAAGAATGTGGTGATAACAGGAGGTACAGGCGGCATTGGATTGGCGTTGGCCCGATGTTTTTTGATGAATGGCGCCGAGGTAACGAAAAAAACGGCTATTTTATCGTCTAACGAATTAGATAAATCCATTAAATCGAATTAAATATATTGTTGTTTGATCGTTTAGAAAATGGCTTTGTTGGACCGTGATAATCGCAACGATCTGGTGACAATTCTGCGCAAAACATTTCCGACGAAGACGATCATCTCTCATTCGACCAATGTGTGCGACCAAAATGACGTGGAGCGCACATTCAACAATGTGATTAGCACATTTCAGACGATCGATTGTGTCGTTGCTTGTGCAGGTGTTTTAAACGAAGACGACTACCGGTTGACAGTCGAGGTCAATCTGGTATATGCTTTATGATTTCATTATTTCATGTTGTTTTGTCTTTGTCCCGCTATGAAAACCATAAATTTTGATTGAGTATTCGATTACAACCAGATGGGTGTGATACATACAAATTACACGGCGATGAAGTACATGTCCAAAGAAGCTGGCTATAATGGTGGATTAATTGTGAATATAGCATCAGTATGTGGTATTGATTGTTCCCAGTTTAGTACGCCGTCATACAATGCAACCAAACACGGTGTGGTTGCGTTCACGCGAAGCTTGGGTGTAAGTTGAAAATCGTGTACCTTTTAAATCCGCTGTGTATCTAGTGTGATTTTAAAACGAACCTTTACGATGACTCACACACACACACACGCATTCTAATCCATAGGATACTTATTTCTACGAAAAAACGGGCATCAAATTCGTTGCGATGTGTCCCGGAGTGACGATAACGGAATTTCTCGACAATTTGGAACGTAGAATGATTTCGATTGAAGCCTATGAATTGACTAGCAAAAAATTGGAATCGGTTTTAAAGCAAAGGTAAGTTGTTTTTTTTTTTGGAGCAATCGAAATGGAATGAAGATCAATAATCTAACTGTGTTATCATTGGCAACAGTGTTGATGAGTTCGTGACCGCTTTCATTGATGTTTTAAAACAGGATAAAAATGGTTCCGTTTGGCTGATTGATGGCGGCAAATTCAAAGAAATCACTTATCCAAATCCTTGGTATGATAATAGAATTCAAAACCAAGCATAAGATCAACGTGCCACAACAAGTGCATGCCACACATACCGTTTGTACTTAAACCGGCATAGTTACTGATTACATCTGTAATCTATTCCATGAACTTGGTATTGAGAACGAACAATTTGTCGGTGAGTCACACAGCCTATAACACAGTTTATGCTATCAATCATGTCATTTTGTTTCTGGATAACGATAAACAAAAATATTGTCTTAAATAGTATCAAATGACAAAGAGCAATAAATCGACTTGGTCAAAATGTATCATTGTATTTTTTTTAGTAGATAATTGTGTATGACCTTGTTACAAATATCATTTTTATGGTCATGGTAAAGTGCGTTTTTGTTCGAAAAAAAAGGCCAACATCAGTTTCGTTCCTTAATGGTTTCTTCGTTGTTTTTCTGGCCAAAAATTTGTTACATGGACACCGGATACCAATTACGATAAATACGAGTATACATTGTGTCACCACATATAGGCGCTGATCGATTGATCATGACATGAAAATCCAATTTGTCGAAGAAACGACGAAAAAATACATATTCAGAAAGAAACACACCGCCATTGTCCCCAAAATGTATCGAACGGAACTAATAGCTACAATGAAACGCTTCATGTTCTCTCTCCTGCCTATCTTTTTGTGACGAAAATAATATTTCTTTCTTCTTTTTCTTCTTCTTCTTCTTCTTCTTCTTCTTCTGGTTCGGTTTGTACTGTTGCCGTGTCGTGATTAGATGCGTCTAAGTGTTTATTTCTTGAACGCTTAATGATTTCATACAGCGAAAACTCCTGCTTCTGTATTGAATATTACAGGAATTGGTTACACATTGATTTCACACTCATGGTTCAAATGCGTTCAATCAACTTAGCCTCGCTTCGTTATATTAGGGAGATAATTGCTAATCGCTCGTTTTTTTTTCGTTTTTTTTTTTCAATGCGTTTTTCCATATGTATTCTGCGATTTTAAGTGTTTGTGTGTGTGCGCGAGCGTGAGCGCGTTTGCACCAATCAAATACGCACCTCGATCTTGCCATCCGATAACGACTGTTTATAGAGTGAATGAGTAAGACAGAGAATAAACTGTGAAATATAAGGAAAACCAAATGACAATAACAACAACAACAACAAAATATCGCCTTGCCATAAACACTGAACAAATGATTTTACCATTTTGTTGACAATGTAATTTGCCGGATCAAGTTAAGTTAAACGTAATTGGAATCGATGATCGAAGTGCGGTGCGACGTACAAATAACGTGTATGACAATCTTGTTTATAAAAATATCACATTGTTTTCACTGAGCTAATTGATTTGAAACCTAATCGGAGCAGAAAAAAAAGATCGATATCAACGAAGACAAAGAAGAAGAGGAAGGGAAAAAAAACCTGAAAATAGAGCATTTTTTTTATTACGAATTTATTACTCTAAATCGACGCCCAAACACTCATATTGGAAATCTAGCCGATGCTCTCCCACCGGATGATCAATGTGCTTGCAATTCAAATCATCGATATATTTATTTGTTTGGTTTGCTTTGCTTTGCTTTTTTTCTGCTTCGTTTTTTCGTTTCCATCCACAATTGGATTTGCGCTTAGAATTTATAGAAAGCAACCGCGCGTAATCGCATAACCATAACGGTGAACGGCAAGCATGGTCAAGCTAAAGGTTTCGCACACAGCAACCAAACAAAAACGGCAACAACAACAACAACAATTCGGAATGACTGCGGTGGATGAGCGGAAAATCATATATGGAATGAAAAAATTAAACAAAACTATCATTAAATTAGGTTTAATTGGATGTGCGTTTACGTCAAATTATGGCTATTCGAATCAATTGTATTTGATTTGTTTTCTGCCCGATTCAAAACATCGAATGCTACTACTTATTTTATTTTTTTTACCTTTTCGCTTCACAAGAGCAACTTCCCCCCACCTGTCGCCCGAAAACGTTGGCGGAATAACAGTTATAATCAAATTGAATTCTTTGTGCATACAAATGCGCGCAAACGTTACTTTCCTTTTGGTTCCATTAAAATGATCATCGTGCGGTGCTGCGTATAGAAGACAACTGAACACTCTGTTTCTTTTGTTATTTCTTCAACTTTGCGTTTCTAATTGATTTTATTTTATGTAAATATGCCGATGACGTGCAATTGAAAGCCATGATTTCACATTGAAAGAGAGGTAAGAAAGAAAAAAAAAGCAATAACCAATAACCAACCAAAAGGAAATAGAGAAAAAAAATATCGAGTTCAGGGATATGATTTTCCAACTGATGATTTCACGATTGGCTGTCAAAACCCGCCGCGTTTCCATGAATTGCAAAAAAAAATCGAAAGAAAAAAAAAACGCAAATATTGTGGTTGTCGTTCTCCAACAACCTCGATCGGTAACTGCTGCCAACGTAATTGTTATCGTTCAAACAAGAATGTACTGTGTATTCTCAATATTTACTTTTTAACTTACGCATAACCACATATTATATGTTTGTATGTCTTATCGCAGCCCGTTGCATTCACTGTGTGCCATGCTTCGATGATCTGAAAGTTGAAAAAAAAGAGTCTTCTAACTTTTGGCCTCATCAAATTTGTCTGACCTGAGCAATGCACTTGGCTTTGTTGTCGGTGCTTCCACCGCTGCCGCTGCCGTTCCTGCTGTTGTCAACACAACACCCAGATTTACTTCGCATTATACTTTTTTCGTTGTGCATTCAAGGCTGAATTTCTTCCACTGATAAACCAAACAAAAAGTACATTGTTCTTGTTTACGGGCTAAAAAGAATTAACATTCCGTGCGATCGTACACTGACATTTGTTTTTTTTTTATTTCTGTCGTTAGTCTACATAGTGTTGTTTGTCATTTCTTTATCTGCAAATCACTTTTGTATTATTGGATAAAAGTAATGTAAGTATTCGACCGTCTTCTTCTGTTCAGTGTTTGTGTCTGTGTATCGCCCTGCTTCCGTTTTTTAACGATACTAACTCCGACACATGAAAATTCGAGTCTCTCCAAAGACGATAGAACAAATGCAAACGGCATTGATAATTAGAATTTCTGTGGTCGCTTGTCCGGCCTTTTCCCGTGAAATGAAAACATGTGAAAAATGAGAAATGTCGAAACAAATGGCAGCTTACACGCATTTATATTTAGACGCAGGGAAATTCAATCAACAAATATGTAATAATTATCAAATTTATTATAATTTTTCTCTCTGTTCTTGGATGAGAAACTCTGTCAGGCGTAAAAAAGATCAAGAGTGCTCGGTTCAAAATTGACCATCAAATAATCGGGTATTCTTTTTTTTTCATCTTTTATTTATATTTCATATCAATTCTCGTCATCATCGGGCCCTTTGTGCATTCGTCCAGAAGATAAATTTTGAAAACGATGAAAAAAAAACACATCCAACGACCCAAGAGGGAAGAAGAAAAAAAACGAAAAAATTGAAATCAATTGGAACCAGTTTAATACACAATTTTGAATATAAATGCATTATTAAGTCGAAAAAATTCAATGTCAAAAATGAGCTGGGATTATTATACACATATAGTAGCGAATGAAATGCATTTGAAGAGTGGCAGTGGCGGCGGTGGTGGTGTGTTTGTCTGACTGAGACGCACCGTCTCATTCTCATCCATAGTGTGCGAGCGCAGACGCGCACGCACATTACACCGAGCCGTGTGTTTGTTCATTCAGAATGAATCCATCTCGTCTTTGAATAAACATTTCGTGTTCACGAGAGTTGAACGCAACAATTAAATGAGAAACGCCAAATATGCATGGGGTCCGTGTCATGTACAATTTAAAATATGGTGTACAGATCAAGTATATATGAAGTTCATACGCTCTTTTTTCTTCATTTGTGGAAATGATAGGAACTAAAAACGAATGCAATCGAAATTGATGATCGTGCATGTTGACGAGCACAACATCGAATCATGGGGTGTTGCTGCTGAAGAAGAAGAAGAAAAAAACAAGCCGAATAATTTATTCTTTTTCGTTTTCTATCGAGAATGAGACTTTGTTGGTGCGTTCATTGCGCTCCTTATTTGCTCACTGCACTCAGTTTTTTTTTCTTCCTTCTTCTCCTCCTCCTCCTTCTTCTTTATTTTTACTATTTTTCTGACTTTGTTTGTCATCAATAACACGAGTGTTTTATGAGAAACATGAACACCGCGCAAATGGTAAATGCACTTGATGTGCTGCTTGCTCTCTCTCTCTCTCTCTCTCTCTCTCCGTGTATGTAGTTTAATAATTCTATTCCCTTGGCTGTCTTCATTCATGCACGACTTTTCTATTTTTCATTTTTTTCTTCCTCTCTCTCTCGTAATTTTCGTACATTTGAGAGAAGAAAAAGGAATTAAAGACCCATATTATTTGTTAAGTCCATCAATATGAACGCACAATTTAATGCCTTGAAATGCATTCACACAACAGAAAAGCTATAAAAAAAGAATGTACGCTATGTAATTTAATCACAAACAAAAAAAACTCACAGACACACACACACACACACACACGCAACATATTGAGCGTTTTGTGTTGCGTGAGTGAGTTTGTGTGTGTCTGGGTTTTGTGTGTGTCGAAGAGAGAGCGAGTAGAATTGGTTCTTATTTGGGCTTACGTTCTTCTTGTTGCTTACTTTTTTGATCGTATTAATTCATGTTCTTTCATGTCTATTAGATAGATGCAATAGATGTACGATATTTCGTTTTTAATAAAATACCCTCGATGAAAGAGAACAAAAGCCGATTGCTGCAGACAATTCATGCGGCAACCTCTTCTCTTTTTGTCCGTTGCTTTTAAAACCGAATTCTTCTCGATGTGTTTTTTTTTCTTTCTGGCTCTGTGCTCATTTCTTTGTGTTCAATTTTTCACGTCCAATTCGATTCCGTCAACGGAATCCTCGTCGCTCACTCTCTCTCTCTCCCACTCTCTCGCTCTCTTTCTCTCTGTCCTCGCTTTAGGCTGGACGTCACATAATTTAACAAAGGTTTCACCAATTGTTTTGTGCGTTCATTTGTTGTCTTGTTTGATTGTTCATTGTGTTCAGGCCAACGGTTTCGTTTGAATGCTCTTCGACCAAGATGCACAAATACAAATCGGTTCGGGTCATATTCCAATGACTTGAGATTCGATTTCTGTTATAATTCTTCAATTTTCATCAGCCTCCAATCCTTTCAACCAAACGAAAATCGATACGATTTCAGTCCTCCGTTTTTATTCAATTCCTCGATCAAGATCGT